GGGGGTAAAGTTTTTCGGTATTGTTATTTTGTGTAATAAATCCTTCAGTGAATAAAATGTATGCATTTTTTTAAATGACATTATGATATTTTATTAATAAAACATATTTACATTTTCAGTGTTTTGTGGGATATTTTGTGTATTCTGACCAACAATATCCCCTGATTAGGTGTTTCAGAGGTTACTGTAGGTCAAACTATGCATCTAGTTTTACATTACTTTTAGGCTATATGTCAAAACAAACACCTATTTGACAAGAAAAGTGTCTTGTGAACACTTACCATGTCTATTGGCGTACATGTAGACTAATTGACGTGATTATGCGTTTACAATGGTATAATCCATTATAGGGGTGGTCAAATGTATATTTATATTATCTATTATTATAATTAATAATTTTAGTATTTAAGATACAGATCAGAGCTAACTATTTCTCACTATTTTGAGGGCTGGTCCCGCCGCCCATACATGCAGTTTTGATGTCACTCAATGTAACGTCTCATCCGAAAGACGGTACTTACTGAGAATTAAGTGTTCCCTTCACTATACTGGGGCATTAGGACTCATAAAGACCATGGGTTGAGCGCTCCCTGCAGGCCTCCCTAACACTACTTCCAATAGACTGATTTCACGCTGTCACAATTTGAAAAGCAAAATCGAGGCTGCGGTGGGAAGAAACCAGGAAGTATCGCCTGATTCACACAGGAATGTTAAGTACCTGGCAGTATATCTTATGAGCGAAGAGAAAGCGACACATATTTATAATTTCACTGCCCTCCGAGTGACCCGAAGGTCTGTTCTGAATGGATAGTGAAAATAATAAGGATATCGGACATCTTTTTTAGCTAAGTTAAGGGAAATGACACTAGTTACTAGCTAACATTATCTTTCCCAAACACACGCCATTTATCAAACAAGTTAATGAACTGAATCTTTTACTATATTTCACTTTTACTATTCATGATACTGAATTTCAGTACTGAAAAAAAAACGGCAATTTGCCCACTAACATTTAAGCGCCGCTGAGCGCGAAGCCATCGATTGATCTTCGTGGCTTTAAATCGCTCCAGTGTCTGTGTATCTGTGTTTCTATTCTGTGAAGAGCAATGAACTGATGGCCTTTGTGGCCAATCACAGTCATTTCTGTTGAGCACTGGTGAATACAATGGCAAATTAGCTGTGTTTAAGAACACGCTCAGGAGCGCTTAAATGTTAGCAATAAATAGATGTTTTTAAAACTTCATTAGGGTGTGCTACAGATGACTGCATTGTTTTAGCCCCCACGATATAACCTAGTGGCATGAACTGAAGCCTAAGAGGACACTCATTAAGAGATTGCGATTTTGTTTGATGCCTAGTATGCTTTTAATTGTTTAAATTAAACTTAACTGAATTATATTAAAGTGATGTTTACACCATATCTGCATTTTGAAATGGTGGCAACAGCTGGAGATTTGTAGTCCACAGCATTTTGTTGCAAGGTTTACAGTGCTCATCCTATACTTCCGGGTTTCTTCCCACCACAGCTTCGCTTTCGCATTAAAAATTGTGGCCGCATGAAATAAGCTTATATAATTACATTATCCTTTAATACTACATAGTCATGTTAATAAATCAGTTGGGTTTTTTATCAATGTTTACATAATAAACAACTGGTCACAAAAAATAATACAATAGATACATTTGTGTACACTACATAGATTTGACCAAAGAATTACAGCATTTTATGGTACTTTTTAATATTTTTTGGAGCTTGAAAGCATGTTTTAATTAAATGAAGAAAAAAAAAAACTGTGTGATTGTTTGACTAAACATTTACATTTAGGTTTTTCAGATAAAAGAAATTCCTGATATGAGTTTGGAATGATATGGGATATGATATGGATCTACGATGAGTAGATGACAAAAGAATAACAGAAGTAAAGCATCCATTTAAATCATTTTTTAGATGGTAAACTATTAATTACGAACCCATCGCTGTGCATTCTTGCATACTGTGGTGTTTTTCGCACAGCACATCCACCCTCAATCATACAGACGCACGTATTCCCATTTGCACACCCTGGAACACAGCTTGCTCATACAAAAACACACCCACGCCAACCCCATCCCCGGGGACCAATCCACTTTGTCCCCACCCTCCACAAACCAGGCTTGCCAAACTCTCACAAGACGAGAGCTGACCACACCTCTAACCCCATGATTGCTGCCTTTAACTTTCCCCTGCCTGTCCCTCTGGGTGCCCCTAAAACACACTGCAATTGGCAGACCGAGACTGAAAAAAGCTGCACATACAGTAGGTTTGAGGAAGACTACAAGAGTACATTGGAAATAGTGTGTGTTTGTTTGTATCCAAATGTTTGGTGGGATTGTTGGTGCACACCCAAAGTCCCAGTACAAACACATACATCACACTGAGTATCTATACAGCTGCTGCCTGTCATTATGCAAATCTAGAAAAGCCTCTTCCTGTGTGATAACCGAGGATTAAGACTAAACATAGTCCCTTTTTAGGACTCTTACTCAATTTCAATGCATGCTTTGCTGATTTGATAAACCCTATGAAATATATGTAGCCGTTTTGTTGCTTTTAATTCATTTTAATTAGCATTGATGACATGTTTTTTGTTAATTTACCCTGCTGTTCAAATAATCGTGAACTTAAAATTTAAAAAAACAATCACAAAAAAAAAAGATTTCACTACCCTTAATATTGATATATGAAGCACGCTGCTATGATCACCAGCGATCTAGCATTTGCAGATAGCTGAAGAACTAAAATTCTGCCATTGAATCAAACCACAACTCCAAGAAGTCATTGCTCCAATCCCCCCTGCCATAGCTGAAAGTCATCCAGACACACACACAGCTGAAGTTCATCATTGAATGATTACTTGGACTATACACCACACATTCACACAAACTTTGCTGAGTTTTGTTTCCGTTTAGAGCATCACGTAAGCATTGTCTTGCCTTTCTGTGTTATTGACCTTTGCTTTGTTTTACCGTTTATGTTGTTTTGCCACCTGACCTGACAATTTGCCTGCTTTTGACTGCTCTTGGATTTCCTGTTTGCTCCTGTTTGCCGCAATTTTGACCGTTGCCTGTCTGACTATTCTTTGTAATAAACTGCATGTGGATCCTTACCTCTGTTTTCCCAGACCCTTCCGTGATACACGCACTATGTGCAGAATCAAATCAATGTGATTTACATAGGTCAGGCTACTGAGGTCAGAAATGCAGAATCTGTATTTATTCACTTCCCTAAACACAATGCCATCTGAAATCTGTTTTTCTGTGTGACTTCCTCCATTTTGTTAGCAACACTCCTCTTCCAACAATCCAATTGGTTCGCAAAGGACAAAATCATGTACTGTCCTACATTTTTTTTCTCATCTCAGAGAACATTTCAATCAGCTGTATGTCGCAAAGGGTTGTTTCATGTCGACTTTAAGCATGTAAACGTTTTTAAAATGTACAGTGATTTTGTTCTATAAAAACAGACCAAATTATTGGTGATCATGTTGCACCACACATTATTATCCAATCAAATTCTTTCTAAAATGAGAACGACCAACTCCATAACACCACCTGCAACCAAATAGCAAACAAGCACATGTCTTTGACTTAACCAAAGCTGTACACTTTTTGTAAACTGTTAACCAAAGCTGTAAACTTGAGCCTTTAAGATATGTGTCTCACCCAAGTCATGTTTTGGTCGATTAACCTGGCAACTGCTGTTCTCCAATGAGCTTCTCCAATGATAGTCAACATTATCAAGATGATACATGAATTAACACGAACTAAAAGGGTTTTATAAGCTACTCATTTTTAAAGCGACATTTTATTGTGTTTATATGCCACAATGAGGTCATAAAATAATTATCATTGTGAGGCCTACAATGCAAGTTATTCAATACTTATAAGCAATGTTGGGCAAAATAGTATATATTGTAATCCTAATCTTAAAAAACACATGCTTTCACATTGCCTTCCTTAAAAAGTAACTAAGTAACACATTTAGTTACTTAAAAAAAAGTTACTTTAGGGTGCTTTCACACCTGTAGATCGATTGTTTTGTTCCGGGGGATTAAAATTGTTACAATGTTGCACTTTATTCTTGGTGCCACCCACAGACATAGTCATTAAATATAAATCAGAGGCAAGAATTTCTCATACATAGCCTTGGCTAAAATTATGCATTATACTGTATGCTTTACATTAAACAGAAATAACAGACAAACCAAGGCTGCATTTTGATCAATTTTGGGATAAACAGCTGTTGTTAAACACACATTTACCAGAAGGAATGACATCCAGCCCTAATCATCATTCTCTCTTCATATAGCTGTATACATGCCTATTATATATTTATAATACACTGTGATATAGCCTGGTTCCTTAGTTAGTTCATTGGATCGTATTGCTTTCTCACTACAATCGATCCGCTTCAGGGTTCGTTTCAATCGAGCCAAGACCACCTCATTCAGGCGATCTCGGGCCGACTGGTTTGGCGTGGATCCGAGTGTGATTGCTGGTTTCACATATGGCAAATGAACCATGCTAACAGGGGAAACATGCCAGGTTCCGAAATACAAGTCTAAAAGTGAAAGCACCCACAGATTATATAATATATTACTTTTAAAGTAACTTTACCCAGCATTGTTTATAAGGACACTTATCAGATTGATACTGATACTTATAGGACACATTTAACCCTTTATAGGGCACTCATTAAAATACTCATTGAGTAATCAATATAAATTAAGTAACCAAATATGGTTCTTCATCCTATAAAGGGATAAAAACAGTCACATGGAAACCAGAAGAAAATAAAGCAGAGAAAATGTAATTTATTAAAAAAAGTAATCCGTAAAAAAAAAAACTTCATATGTCTCAACATTAATATAGAATTAATTTAAGAAACTAAAAAGAATATCATGTAATTACTGTACCCATAATGTTTTAGTTAACTGTCACTCGACATTTTAAAGACTAACCTGTGGACATAATGTAGTTGATGCACAGAGTCAATAGCCAAGACCATCTCGGCCAGATAGAACTTGGCCATGTCTTCAGGCAGACGATCTTCAAACTTACTAAGCAGAGTCAACAGATCTCCCCCTACATAGTAGTCCATCACCAGGTACTGGAAGGAGAGAAAAACAAGGAGTAATTAAGACAGACATAGGAGAAAAGAAATGGGAAACACAAAAATCAACCACAAGTAGGGCTGGGTGACACAACAAAAATCTCACATCACGATATAAGTCATCTGCTATCCTGATAACGATATTTATTTATAGTATATATTTATCACAATATTGCACCATTTCTGTAAATTCAATCAATAATTATATATTTTGACCACATGTAAAGGACCGTTTCTTTTTTGTTTTAAGTATATACTGAGAAATCTATTCATTTATATAGTGCTCAGCATATTGGGGTACACTCCTCACAAATCTGTCTTTAAAATGAATATTTTCTATAGGATGCTTTACAATATTATATTTGTGCATACACATTGGACTAGTCAGTACTGAAGCCAAATCTGAAGCTAATCTAACAAAATAACTTACAAACCAGTCCAAAAATTTGTATGTTAAAGGGAAAAAATATTAATAAAAATTTGTAAAAAGAGGAAAAAAATCAAGAGAAACAAAAAGATATACAAAATTTTGCTGAAATTTTGTAGTTTGTAATTTTTTTTGCCATATTTTGCATGAATTAAAAATGTATTGTCTTTCTATTTTTAAAGATGTTCAATGATTAAAATATTATTTTAATAAATAAATATATCTGTTTAATAAATAATTTTGTTCAGATGCACCAAAATATATTACATATACTCACTGAGAAATGGATAAAAATATTGGCGTATGGGTATACTCATTTATGCTGAGCACTGTATGTGACCCTATTTCTCACTTTATTTAGAAATTCAGGGTAAAACAAAATAAATATTAACGTAATATAAAACACTTTTAAAAAAAAAATGATTACAGCTCTGAAATAAAAATAAAAAATATTGCTAAATAAAATGCAAAAGGTATACATTGTACTTTCAAAATGGCTTCCTCATGATCCTGTTGTACATGTTTATGTTTTCTTTTCCATGATGGCATGTGATAATTCACTCAATGTAAACTAGTACTGTAAACAATGTTTTTTGTGACACCATGCAATAAATCATATAGTATAATATAAAACAATAGATTTTTATTTTGTCTTTATGATATAACAGTCATATGGCGCAGTCCTAATCACAGGCAGTCTATATGGTTAAAAATTCCCTTTTAGATTTACCCATCCCATATCAATTGTCCATGACAGTCTTTGATCTAAAACCTCTTCAAATCGCTCTCTCCCTCCAGTTTCATTCCCTTACACTCCCACTCCTGAGCTGAACTCAAAATGATAATTCATATTAGAGACCCTCTTCTCCAGTCACGCTATATGCACAACATGACACAGATATTGTAAGATAGTGTGCCTTGAAACTCTGATTGATAATCATTGCATTATCTCCCCCTCGGCAGCTTATCGAGCAAATGTGAATCGGCCTTAATGTGAGCTTGAGACTTCTCACGCACCAAGTTGTTCTCGTCCTGGAAAGCATAGTGTAATGTCGTGATCCACTGACAGTCCCCATTCACCAGCACGTCCCGCTCCTCCCGAAAACATGCCGTCTGTGGGAACAGGGTTAAACGTCAAAAGAAAACCACTTTTTAGAGTCAAAAATGAGCCTCACATACTTAAGAATTACTCCAGCCAAGGGGTCTATTTCTACTTATTTCCATTGTGAAGAATGGTTTCTGAATCACACAGAGCAAAGGCTGTTTGTTTTTAAGTGGTTTCTCGTGTAACGGGCAAAGACAGAGAAAGTAACTCTCTACTAGGAAGCTAAGGAATGACAGGACAGGGGAACAGAAAAAAAATGGATAAAAGTCTGATGCTAAGTGGATCAAGATTTGTACATTATAGAAAATCCAGTCTTGAGAAAGCATTCATGTAATTTGTGGTTAAAACAGTAAAACAGCAGCTTTACCTCAGCCCTTTTGAGCATTTCCCATTTGTTGAGAATCTTCATGGCAAATACTTTGTCTGTGTTTTTCACTTTTACTACTGCAACCTGGAAGAGAGACAAAAACAGTCCTGATGTGAGCTTACCAGTGATGGAAAGAGTATTGAAAAATCATACTCAAGAAAAAGTACCATTACTTGCCCAAAAATGTAGCGCAAGTACAGTAAAAGTATCTGTTGTAAATATTACTCAAAGTATGAGTAAAAAGTAGACATTTTAAAAGTACTCAAGAGTAGTGAGTAGTGAGTATTACACTGTAAAAAGCTGATGCATTTACATGTAATTTACTTGTGTGTAAACGTAACATTCTGTAGTGCATGTAGGTATTGTCCAGCAGGCACACAACGTCATAAGACGTTAATGATAGGTTAGATTTAGGTTATGATGTCAGGTGGCCTAAATTCAATGTCTAGCCAGTGTCTAAGGGCAACATTATTTTGATGTCCAGTAATGATGTAAAATGATGCTGATATTTGGTTGATTTCAGGTTAGAAAGTGACCAAAATCCAACTTCAACATTTTAAATCAACGTCACATTGACCTTAAATACTGACATTTATTCGTCAGGTATGGCAACCAAACCCAACATCTGATTGACATTATAGTGGTAACGTCCACACAACGTCAAGCTGTAACATCATTAGACGTTGATATTTGGTTGATTTCAGGTTGGACATTGACGTCGGCCTGACATTGAGTTCTAACGTCAACACGATTTTCATTTCCAGACAAAATGCAACGTCCCCACCATGTTAAGGTACAACGTCAATCTGACTTCATGTTGCCTGCTGAGTGTTTAAGGCAATTTCGGTCATCATACAATAAACATATATCATCTTCGTATCAGTGACATGTATCTAAACAGTCTCTAGGTCACTGCGTGTAGCGATTTTGTATATTTTCTTGGTCACTTTTAATGCTTCCGAAAAGTTTGCTGCAATTATAAATATCCATGTCTTGAGGTATTTCATTATGAAGTGATTTAAGTTAATCTAATTTAAAAAAAAATAAAGTAGCGACTGCAGGTTGAAGAAAAGTAGGGGATTAAAAGTACTAATACATCACTAAAAATGTACTCAAGGGAAAGTAAAAGTGAACATTTTTAAAACTACTTAGTTAATTATAATTCCTGAGAAAAACTACTCAATTACAGTAATTTGAGTATTTGTAGTTTGTTACTTTACACCACTGGATCTTACACGTGATCTTTAGCTTTATGTGGTCATAAACAATTCAAGAGTGTGTTTTTTTATTGTTATTCACACAAAAGTGTTACTTAGAAGCAAAATATTATTACCAGAAAAGCGTGGTCATTCAGCAATCAGTAAAGAAAATGAAAGATTACAGCAGAAATTTGTTTTCTTTTGATGTAAGTACCATTGTTCTCTATAACCTTTACATAAACATTGTTAAGGTTTCGGAGTAAATATAAATAAGAACACATATGATTTCAGTGTGTTCAGTAATTGTTGCCATGTTGCCAGGGGGGGTGGGGGTGAATATATTTAAATGTGCCCTATTCATTTCTGAGTTAAAGTGTTTGGGTTTAAGTTTATGTTTTTTTTGTTTTTTGTTTTTTTAATTCAAGATCTAGGCAGCACGGTGGCTAAGTGGTTAGCACTGTCGCCTCACAGCAATAAGGTCACTGGTTTGAGCCCAGGCAGGGCCAGTTGGCATTTCTGTGTGGAGGTTTCCTCCAAGTGTGCTCCAGTTTTTCCCACAATCCAAAGACATGCGCCATAGGTGAATTGAATAGACTAAATTAGCCATAGTGTATGAGAGAGCGTATGAATGAGTGTGTAAGGGTGTTTGGAATAGTTGGTGGTTTAATCCACTGTGGCAACCTCTGAAATAGAAACTAAGCCAAAGGAAAATAAATGAATGAATACTCAAGATCTGGCAACATTTATGTGTCGACAAGCAGTGCACTGACATATAGAGCCACTTCCATTTGCCAAGTTTGAGTTCTAGACCCCTGGCTACCCTTCTCCAAGTTCATCACTTAGAGTCTAGCTACTGTTCTGTCATAATCCGTGTTGGGGGATCTACTTTTAAAAGTATTATATTATATAATCTTATGCCCAGCCGAGATGAAAAAAAGCAAAACTAACATAATTCAACACATTACTTTCCTTCAAAATATCAGAGTAACACATTTAGTGACTTTCTTTAAAAAAATTTATTTAATATTGTAATAAACACCACTTTTAAAAGGCTAGAGTGTGTGTAAAGTGTCCCTAGAGTGTGTATGTAAAAGTTTAGCTCAACATACCCCACAAATAATTTTCAAATAACTCTTTAAAAACTCTTTAATCCAAATCTGTGCTGTTTGGGTGACTGTCCCTTTAAATTCAACTGAGATTGTGCTCCCAGCCCTAAAAAAGTTTTTAGTTCACCCCTTAAAAAAGGGCTATGTGTCAGCACAGAGGCAGATTCAAAACAGGACTAACGTTATCTGTGTGAAAAACTGAAATGTGAAAAGAATTTTCTCAGAAGAACACAGTCTATAGAGACTACAGTGTGCGTTTGTGCATCCTAAAACTCCACATTTAAAATCTTCTTAGTTGCTGACATTATCTTGAGCACGTGAAGACTCTACTGTCAATCAAAGTGTTTTTACAGACTGTTTTTATGAAATGTGAATTTTATAACTATTATTATTCAGGGCTCGAAATGAACCTTTTTGCTTGGTAGCACCGGTGCTCCTAACTTGTATTAAAAATGTAGGCACATCAGCCAAAATTTTGTCGCACACACCAATTATACTAGTTTTAATCAAACAGATTTATTGCATTTGAAATCAACACTAATCAAACTAACAAGCAAAAAAATATGCCTGCGTGAGGAAAATATGTCTCAACGAAATCCTGTTATCACAAGAAATACATTTTTTTATAACATAACTGAGTGACTAAAAGATACACGGACAGCTCACCGGCCCTGCACGTACTACTTGACATGAATGAATCAGTTAACAATATAACTGTGCTGCTCTCACGGGTGCTGTCTGATATTGCACTGATGCTTTTGACATTTACTGTACCTTATTATATGGATACGTCATGTTAATAGCAAAACCGGTCTTTTCATGAGTAGCAATATTAGTTTACTCAGTGCAAGCCCATTTCCGATGGTGTACGTGGGGTTTAATTTTACATATAGCTGCCACTTGCACGGCGGACAGCATCTGGCAATTAAATAAAAGATTAAACAGAAGCTCTCGTGCTAGATGTGGCAAACATTTACCTGAAAATTCCATCCCACAGACTTTTTATAGCGGACTTGAAGCCAATGGAAGTCTTTTTTCCACTCTTCGAAAAGTATAGATGGTGGACTAACATTCAACACATTATCACTACTAAGATGTGTCACTATTTGTAACTTTAGATGGGTTCTAAAGCAATATCTGTCAGTGTTATTTTAATTTTCATCTTCAGCGCTTAACATTTTCGCGGTTGGAGCTTTCCCTGTCATCCCAAGCCAGAAGGCATTGACTGAGTGATTGATATTAACCAATCCATTCGTGGTCAGTTCTAGAGCAGTGGGCGAATAAGAAGAGCGCGAAGGCGTGGCAAGCATTGCGGGTGCATATTGCATTCTGCGTGAATGTCTCCTAAATCTGCGCATGTGTTGAAAATTTTTCAGTAAAAACTGAAATATTTGGAGGTCGCAAAGATAAAATTTCGGGCGCATATGTGACCAAAATGGTCGCAATTTCAAGCCCTGTTATTAGAGGCTGGCTATATTTACACATTGTTGCCACACAACTGTTTAAAAAGTAGCCCTTAAAAAAGTGATTTTTGCATAATAGTTCCCCTTTAGAACAAACTTTCCTCAACCCTGTCATAATAAAGGGAAAGAAAGCCAAATAATTAGTCTCTAATAAAAGATCTGGCAACATTTAAATTAACTATTTAACTGTTTACTTCAAATTACTCCAATGTTTTGTATGGTTCAATTAGTTTGTTTTTTACATTAAAAATAAATATAATCTTTTCATCTGAAAACGTTCTCTCAGAAATTATTTTAATGTGCAGATATGGTGCTCAACAAACATTACTACTATCATTTTTATTAGTTATGAAGCTTAATTTTTTCTCTTTTTTTTGTAGAACAACGCCATGATAAAAGTTTCTTCAGGACACAGCACAAAAACAGCATATATTTAAAGTAGAACATTATAAATGGCATTCAGACAGTCTATTCTGACTAATTGGACAGTTATTTGTAACAATATGCTGCAAATGGCATCTTTGTAAGACTACAATCAACACACTTTAAATACCCTGAAAAACATATGACTCTGAATGCCATCAGATAATAGTCCTTGTAGTGCAAGCCAATGATCTTATCAAGCATCTGCCCTGAAGAGGAAAAATAAAGCATCAGGCTGTCAGATGTGTGATGTCATCACTCTATTAAACGACGGCCTGTACAAAACAGTGCTCAGTGACATAGCTGTGAAGGAGCAAACTGTTCTTGGCCCCGACTTCGCTGATAGAGGAAATAGAGGAGACTCCTTCAGTTGTTTGCTCTTCACTTTCTGCCATCAAGAATGTGATGACATGCTCAGAGATTCCCCTTTCCACACCCTACACATCAACTCACAAACAAAGGCCAGTTTAACTGCTAAGACATGCAGCACAGAGATGTGTGCGTCTATTCACATTCAAATGATAGAAAATGTGGGGTATTTAGAGCATAAGAATTCTTTATTTTCTTAAATTGAAGATACTTAAGGTTAATGATTTGGTTAAATTTCAAACAGCACAACTTGTGTTTAAAGTTAGGAATAAATTACTTCTAAAATGCATACAAAAGTTTTTTGAAGAAAGACAATGGGGATATAATCTGAGAGAAGAATAAAATCTAAGGAGGTTGAAAACAAGGACAACTTTTAAACATTTGTGTATGTCTGTATGTGGTGTGAAATTATGAAACAGTCTGGAAGAAATTCTCAAACAATGTCAGTATATTATTCAATTTTTAAATTGATTGTAAAAATAAAAATATATTATTAATGAAATATATTATTAAGGCCAAAATGA